AGGAATGCAAGCTGGGAAAAAGAAGAGAGACCATCTCTGACTAAGAGAGAGGCAGAGGCAGACCCCTTTTTCTACCGGCTCCATGTTTCCTCTTAGGCGATACAATACACCTTCCTGCTCTCCTAAGCACATGAACTCCTGGAGAAGCAGAAGAAACAGGAAGCAGCAGCAAATTGGTGGCTTAATCTAGAAAGTATCTCTAGGGGACTAAATAATATTTTATAAAAGTGTAGACTAACTACAAAGAAAAATGACTACCACTGACCCTGCAGTCCCAACACAGAGCCAAATTCACCTGCAGAGCTTCACAGGAAACATTTATTTTTCTTATTTACAGCTGATCACCACCTACCTGCTCATTATACTTCATCTCAAACCTCAGGATGACTTCCAGTTTCTACCAGCAGAATCTTAAAAACCACAGTAGCATCTTAAAAAGAATCTTAAAAAGCAAGTAGCAGTTTTGCACTGCTAATTTGCATGGGGAAATACAAATTAGAAAAATGAAAATGAGCACAGAAATGTCCAGAAGGGTAGCTACAAGGCTGAAATAACAGGTAAAAACTAACACGTTTGGAACAATCCCTGCGGATTAGGGATAATTTTTCTAGGTTCTTGACCTGCTTCTCTCCACATCATTCTCTATACAGAAAAAGCACAGGATGCAGGAGGACAAAAACAGACCTCGTGAAAAGCGAATGGGAGATGGATCTGCTCAGGCTTGCAAGAGCATCTCCAGGCCAGTTTGATGGCTAGCTGGTTGCTCCTTAACAATCTGTTACCAAAGCCATGCAAAGCAGCAGCTCTCTTATAAAAACTGCAAGTACCCTGGAAGGGGGCGCCAAAGGTTTATGGCTTTCGTTGGAGCCCTTCCACCCTGCCCACCCCACAATTCAATCACAGGCCCTTCTTTGGCATCCCTGCTTCTGTACCCCAAACAGGCATTGAGGCCCAAGGCCTTGTATCATCCCTAGCAGAAATGGGAAAAGCAGGCTGAGACCCTGATTTCAAGTTGGATCTTGAGACTTGGCTCCATAGGAAGTAGAGGAACTTGTAGTGGTAAGAACACTGGGGGAACCCTGGCGATATAATCCTGGAATTCTTGATTTTAAAAGCACAACTGCAGATAATGCCAATGAGGAGAAAAAGAAATGGGGGAAGGCCACGTAGCTATCCAAAATGTGTAACGAACACTTCTGAACATGAAGAGGACCAGGAGACACAGGAATAGTACAAACAGGTACCCCAGGGGTACTGAAAGAAATGGCTGATAGTCTGGCTGAACCCACATTTGAGCTTTGAGAAATCCTGAGAACTGGTGTGTGCCAGATGACTGGAGAAGAGCAAACATTGTTCTTTTATTTGAAAAGGGGAAGACACTATCTGGGAAGATTCTAGAGCAAATCAGAAAGGGACAGACCCACAAGCACTTTGAAAACAATGCAACAATTAACAGAAATCAGCATATATTCACTAAGAATACATTGTGTCAGACTAATTTTATCCCTAGGATTGTAGGAATGCTGTTACATATGTTTGCTTGCAGAAAACATCTAATACCCCATGAGATGCAGATTAGCAAACAAATTACTTGTAGGTTGGATGACCGAATGCTCAGCGGGTCCTCATCAAACTGAATAAAGGCACTGAATGGGGCACCATAAGAATTAGTTCTAGGACCTTAATTATTTTATTAATGATTTGGATTAAGAGTTGAAAGAAATAACTATCAGCTTTTCAGACAGTGCAAAAAGGGCTCCAACAGCTAACATCCTTGAATACAGAAATAAAATTCAACACAATCTTGATGCACTGAAAGTGAGCCGAAAGTAACAGAATGAAAATTAACAGGGAGAAGTGCAAACCAAATGCAGTGCCGTGGGACTGAGGATACCTGGCTTAGTAATTTTGGGACAGCGGTTGATGCAGACTGCAACGCGATGCGGCTGCCAAGAAGACAAATGCCGTTTTAAACTGCATCAGCAGAAGTATAACCTCCAAACAGTATTCTGCCTTGGTCAGATGTCCAGTTCCGGGAGCCGCGTCTTAAAAAGGCTTCAGATAAACAGGAACAGGTTCAGAGAAGAGCGGGGAGGACAACAAGGGGTCAGAAACTGAATCTTGACCAGGGAAGACCGACGGGAGGCCTATTCTTCAAGAAGAAGAGCGCAGGACGCTGAGCGAGGCCCAAGTCACCGGGACGCAGACGCTCAACGGGGAACCGACGAGCCAGGTCAAAGGGGGCAGCGACCAATGGGAGGCGGCGGTGGCTCCAGCTCCAGGGGGAGAAAAGGGCCAGGGACGGGCAGCCCGCGGAAAAGACGACGGAGGGGGACTGCGAGAGCAGCCGCAGCGGGCAGGACCAGGGCCGGGGGCTGATGCCCCGAGGAGGCGGGAGCCGTTATCGGGGGCCCGCGCCGAGCAGAGAGACGG